TAAAGTTTAGTAAATATGGTTATACTTACAGGCTTAAGTGTAATTCTGAAGCATTGGAAAAGTCTCGATGTATGGCAGAACGAATGAGAAGAATCAAATTAGGCAGAAAGATAAAAGTTTCTCAAATCGGAAAAGATGGGAGAGTACTTTAGTATCATGTTTTGTGATCATCTTAATGATTTAAGAACCACATCATAATTGGTCTTCTAAGGACATCTTAGTGCATTCTTATGACTAAGAAGAGGAGTCATGAATTGTTGAAATGGTTAAATCAAGAAGATGAGTCATACTTCGTTTCAAAACAAGTCTTAGAGTCATACTCCAAGACTATAAGTTGAGTGACATATCTTAAAGAAAGGTTTATAACACTTGTCAAATGTAAGAGTAAAAGTGTCCTACTCTTGTACATTTGAAGTTGGTAAGTTGTGATGTTTTGGATTAAACAAAGACCAACTAAGGCCAATTGTGTGAAGTGTTTGTCTTGATAAAGAATCCGCACTATCCCTTGAATATTTGACAAGAGAGTCTTATATGTCAAGAGGACAGTGAGAGTCTTAAAGGTCTTGAAAGTCTCAAGAAATAATCAAGAGTAAAACCTGAGGTTCTTCACTAGCACACGACTTGAGGTTTATAACCTATCGTGTTGACATACTTCTATTTCTGTGCCCATTCCAGTTAAAGTTGGTTTTGCATATGATTTTCTTAGAGTTCTCAATTGGTTGCATAACAACTTGGAAGCAATGGCAGGCCCTTGTACTGCCAGGTGGCATGAAATTAAGATTTAGTTCAGTACATATGAGTTTGGATTTGTCACTAACCTTGTCTTGTGATTATGGTTTTGACAGATTCACATGGATAAGAACACATACACCATAAAATCTAAGGGTCATAAGGTTTCTCTCCGATTCATGAAAATGATGGTGAGGAAACACTTCCACCAAGTAGATTTGAAGCAGATGGCAAAAGGTCTAAACAATTGAGACTATGATTACGGCATCCCTTTTCATAGTTCTGAAATTGTTTAGACACACATGCATGCTATCTAAGGAAAGGTGTATGATTTTGATAAAGTTTTATCAAAGCATCTCGTATCAGAAATCTAAACTTTGGTAAGAAAGTCAATAAAGTATTGATTTCTAGAAGTCCAGCTGATTTCTGAGTACATGTCAAAGCTATTGAGAGCATAAGTGTTATGTTAATAATCATAATGTTAGTGGGAGCATGATAATTATTGTTAGTGTTGCAAGTTAGCAATGTTAATTATAGAAAACAAAATTAATCAATTCGTGAGGCTGCAGGGATTGAAAAAGTTGTTTTGCTATAATTAAGGGAGAGGATATACTTCATTTCAGTTCTAAAGGCTTAGATTGAGACCTTAATCATCTTTAGTCAACAATATATATATGAATTTCATGTTGGATTGGTTCAACTTAAGGAAATTATATATATTGCATTCTCAAAATTCGATTATGATTACGGCATCCCTCTTCCTAGTCAAATTTTGAAAACATGGCAAATAAAAATATTGTAGCAAAACACTGGTCTACAATCATGTCTTTATGTGAGACATCATGAATCGTGTACCATTTGCTTTGGGTACAGGATCGATTGCATGTGCTATAATATTTTTCATTTCTAAATTTTTCCAAATGCCCAGAGGCATTAAGAAGGGAAAAGGTCTAGAATTGGATAAAACTAAAATGATTAAGCAATTGTCGAGGACAATCTGAGGTGTACCAAAGATTGGTTGCTCAGGGACAGTTGGAAGTATAGTGCTAATTTTGGAAGGACCATATTGACATATTCTGAAAAGAGGCATCTCTTATTCAGAAGTGGTAGTCAAAATGAGAATATGGAGTTGTCTCCATAGGTGGAAGTTATCTGTGTAAGATTATAAAACTTAATGCAAGAAGCATGTCCAAAGCAATGTACTTTGAATATGAGACTTAGTTTCCATGGAGTTGATCTCCATTGGAATACCTTATAATGACTGTTGACAAGTCTTTGTGACTTTGTACATATTCATTACAGGAGGGTCAGTGCATATAAGTTTAAAATCTAAACAGATTTCGATAAATGATAGGAATTTGAAATTCTCAAAATTTTTCGATAAGGATTTGGGAGTGTGAAATTAGAATCATTAAAATTATGTTCAATTGGTTTATTTCACAAAGTAAGGATCATAGACAAACATAGAGTGCATACTTGGTGTATGGCAAAGCTATTGTTTAAGAAAAACATAGTGTACATGCTTGGAGCATGGGACAACTAGTGTTTCTAATTCAAGTATAAAGTTGATAAAACCGAAACAATGAATAATGAGTAATCAGTATGGTGATAAATAAAAGTGTTTATTTATATTCATAGGGTTTGATACCATATTTGATTCATTTATTCTTGTGTTTCACTTTGCATGTTTTGACTTCCAGAATAACTAAGTCGCTCTTCCTGAATAATTAAGTTATTCAAACCATCCACAGTCGGTCATATGTTGGAAGTAGATATGAATCAAGACTGTCATGGGTTGGTTTGTAGAGGTCCAAGTTGGTGGACAAAGTAGTGCTACAACACTCATGAGTGCTCATAAGTTCTGAGTATTGGATTCAACCCGCGCTCATTTGAATCACTTCATGGATTTTATCACGAGTGATCATGAGACGATAATATCTTATATTCTTCAAACCTAAAGATATGAGTTGTTACTATGAGTTGGTTGTACATTGATTGCACGAAAACACATTGGTAACTCGATGTTATAAAACGTGCCTTTGTGTATGATTCAACAAGTAGTAGAACAAGCCATATGAGTCGAAGTTTATCCATTCCTTTTACCTTCGAGATAAAAGCGATATCTGTGGGCCCCTCGATGATTTAGCGATGACACATGTGAGTGCTTGGCCAAGCCAGGACTGATTTGATTTGTTCAATCAGTCAGTCATCATGAATCGGAAATCGGGAAACAACAAATGGACAGAGAGAATGATTGATAATCCATGTCTCAGTCCATATGATATCTAGAATGGAGGAACACAGGATCCCTTATCTAATGGACAAGTCATTGACAAAGGTCAGAGTTCATCGACAAGGTCAGAGTTCGACAGAAGCTTTTGAGAGCTACGATTGCTGATCGGTTCCTGAAGTCATACGCAATAATAGTTTTAGACTTATCCAAGTGGGAGACTGTTGGATTAATGTCTAAGTCCATAACTATAATTGGTAAGACTTGACCCGACCCGGCATGGTCCATTTGCGTTGCATGGCATCATGCATTTGGATAGACTATAATGAGAGAAATAACACTTAAGGTTGGTTAATATATTATAAGTTCTAATATATTAATAAGGTTATTTAATTAGTATTGATCAAGAATTAATTTGGAATTAATTAAGTGATCAAAAGGAGACTAATTAAATATATGGGTTGATTGTGTAAATCATTCATTCTTATATATGTGGGCTTGTGATCCAAGATTCCTTATGTTGGACTAAGTCCATGGGGTGATCCATGGATACTCCATGGAGGTTAAAATCCATGGAGCATAAGGAATGGGTAAAGTTATGAGTTACATGGTGTAACCCTAATAGCCACCATATAAAAGAATCCCATGGCTCAAGAAATCGTGCACTAATGTGTGAATATGAGGGCTAGACGATTTCAAGGAGTGTTCCATTTCTCTCAAGTCATTCCATGTGCATTTGGTGTTGTGTGAACCATTTGAGGTGTCACACTTGGGGCACTAGGCACTCAAGCTTCATGGAGACAAGCTACATCAAACAAAGGTATGTATTCTATCCATTTGATTACCCAAGTATCAAGTATTGTATGCTAGATAGGGTAATACCTTGGAAAGTTCATAATTGCATGTATAATAGAGAAAACATAGATCCAAGGTATTTAGGGTTGCATGTACACTTAGGAGTGTTAGAATGCTCAAAACCCATCAGATAGGGCCCTAGTATGTTGGTTATGTAGAGTATTATGTGGTTGCCTGTTATGTGTGCATGCTTGCGAGGGTAGGTTGGCATTCCAACCCGATGGTTGTGGGCCAGGAGTATTCCATCCCGGTAGGATGATTGGACTCATAGTAGGTTGGCATTCCAACCCGATGGTTGAGGGGCCTGGGGTATTCCATCTTGCGAGATGATTGGACCCATAGTAGTAGTAGTTACTGGATGTATAGGAAGTGGGGAATTCCAACCCGATGGTTGTGGGCCAGGAGTATTCCATCCCGGTAGGATGATTGGACTCATAGTATGTTGGCATTCCAACCCGATGGTTTAGGGGCCTGGGGCATTCCATCTTGCGAGATGATTGGGCCCATAGTAGTTATTGTTGTACGTATAGGTGTATGGGCATTCCAACCCGATGGTTGTGGGCCGAGAGTATTCCATCCCGGTAGGATGATTGGACTCATAGTAGGTTGGCATTCCAACCCGATGGTTGAGGGGCCTGGGGTATTCCATCTTGCGAGATGATTGGACCCATAGTATGTTGTTATTTGCTGTATGTGTATGTTTATGTGTGTATGGGTGCTTTGGGGGAAACACACTAAGCTTTCGGGCTTACATTTGTGGTTTATTGTTTCAGGTGCTTCAGGAGATCGTGGCAAGGCGAAGGCGTGATCGTACCGCTCCTCATGTTTTATGATTTTGTGATATGGTTCTGGGGATACTCTGATGTTTAAATTATTTTGAAAACAAGATGTATGAACTTAATGGTTTTGAAATGAAATAAAATGTTTTAAATTGGCTTGAATTTTATGGGTGTTACACATAACATATTTTTCAGCTGCTTTAGGCTTTCAAATTTCATCCCAAGAACATGTACTTGCCTCTTCCATTGCATATCAGGGTTGAAAATGGAATGGATCTCAACATCTTCTTATTCAACTTCATTGTCACCAGTATCACCTTCTGGAGGACATAACTTACTAAGAAACTCATCCCCAGTCGTCTTGTTCAAAGGTACTTTGTCAATGTCAATTACTTCATCTTCAAGTCCTACATTGGGATGGGTTTCATCAGGGGCAGTGTTTTATTCTTTTTGAGGTACACCATCATCTTTAAGGCCACTTCATTATCTTCACTAACAACCAGATTCATGTCATCATCCCACCATTCCTCCAACCCATTCCCATTATGATCAACATCAAATGAAATTTCCCCGTATTCATACCCGTTATCTATAAACTGGGCAAAATCCAAATCATCTACAATGGGACGAATCCCTCTAGATAAAGGGATGTTAGGTAAGCAGTAGTAGATGTTTTGAAACTCTTCCCCGGTAGCTCTATGAATAAAGTCAAAAAAGTCCCTTACATACATACCTGCCCAATCAACATCAGTGAAGAGGAAGTTATTCCCACCAACATATCCAGAAGGATGTCGAACAAATACACCATTATTGTGTAGATGAACTCTCAGATATACAACTTCGTTATCATTCTCAGCCATGCAACAGTGAAACAATCTTCAAAGAGTAGAATACCTTCGACAGCAGCAGTGTAATCTCAGTAGTGGATATAATGGTTAAAAACCCTAGTTCAAATCTCCATTCCTCTTCTTATAAAACGACTATGGAAAATGAATTAAGATTATTTACAAGTTTTTTCCACTCTGGAATTACACATTTGGCACAATTACTAATTGACCACCTAAGTCAACGACCACATCACCTTTTTAACCGGCTAAATAAATTACGAAATTAATAAGGGTATGAGAGACAGGTAATTTTCGAGTTTGAGGGTCTATAAAGACCAAAAAAACAATATTGGTCTTTTAAAACCTAAAGTAAAAGTTAGATGGGTCTCTATGACAAAAACCCTACCTGAAACCATAAAATCAAATTGTAAACCAAAGCTTAGTAAGTTCCCCCAAAAATATCACACATAACCAAACAGATAACAACATTCATATATGATCCTTCGGCCTGACTAGATCACCTTGCAAGGCCTGCAACCTATTTGGACCGCTCCATGGGCCTACAACCTGACTGGACCGCCTCACAAGTCTTATACCTATCCGGACCACCCCAGGTATCTTGGCCTTTAGCACAAAGTAGGATCGCCTTAACCCAAACCACACTATGTGTAACATCCGGATTTCCAGGTATGCCATTTTAAGTATTTATTTTTTTAGGATCATTGACCTACTCGACGAGTTGGCGCTATAACTCGCCGAGTAGAGTCGGGATGGCCACATGGATTTAATGATCTACTCGACGAGTCTAGGAGTAGACTCGCCGAGTAGGCGCTGTAAGTTGAAACCCTAAATCCCCAGGTTTGGGGCCTATATAAGGATAAGTATAGCCTCATTTGCGACTCCCCATCTGTTTCCTTTCACTGAGAGAAACCCTAATCGCCCCCTTGAGATTTTGAGAGAGTTTGGAGCCATTATTTGAGATCTTTGGTGCATTTTGGTAGAGGGAAAGAGGATTCCAAGCAAGGATTGTGAAAAGGTTATTAGATCTGCTGCTTAGACATCCAGGAGCTTCTATTCAAGGTATAAATTTCATACCTTTCTCTCTTGTATGGATAGATCTCATGGTTTTAGAGTTAGGGCGTTATTCCATCTTTTTGGGGACCTTGAAGGTTTTGAGCACCTTCTTAGTATTAGACATCAGATCTGGACCTTGTGAGGTCCCTAGAGTCGAAAGTCCCCTGCTTTATGCAGCCATGATAGCCCCTTGAATGAGAGACTTCTTCTCAAGCTTGTTCTTGGCATTTTTAGCCCTTTGGTGCTATACATGAACGTAAAGCTCGAGGCTTTACGTGATATTCAGGCCTGGAGAGCTTAGATCTAGAGTGTGAGAGAGTTTTCTGCCTTGAAATCACCTAGATACAAGTTGAGGCTGAACGGGCTCGCCTAGTTGATGAGCCGACTCGACGAGCCGGTTAGGGTTTGTCCCGATGAACTGAGTCAGCTGGTAACCTGTCGAGTTGGGGGTTAGCTCGTCGAGTTGGGGGTTACCGGAGTTGGCATGAATCGACTGGACTCGACGAGTCTCCCTAATGCACTCGACGAGTCTGGTCAAAGTTGGACCGTTGACTGGAGTTGACTTCTGTTGACTTTAGGGTTTGGTCAAAATGAGTGAAAAAGGTCGGGGAAGGGTAGAATGGTCTTCTACCCACTTTTCAGAGATAAGAGTAGAATATTAATTAGAAACATTAATTCGTGATAGGCGGAGGCTAGACCGAGGATTTCGGGCGCGAGACTTTTACTAGCTATCTTACGAGGTGAGTCTTCTCACTATACTTTACCTAGAGTGGTAATTATATGTGACCAGAGGGTCTTATGTGCTTGCTTGAGATATGCATGATTATGTGATATGTATTGTATGCTATATTATTTGTTGCTTAGACCGGACTGGAGGGTCTAACGAACTATGAGGCCATAGAGTTCTCAATCAGACCGGACTGGAGGGTCCAACGAGCTAGACCGGATCAGAGGGTCCAACGAGCTACGGGACTGGAGGGTCCCGCTGAGACACATAGACCGGAGGGTCTTACAGAGTATAGCCTCGAGTGGCGAATTGTTGTATGTGGTATGTTGGGGAACTCATTAAGCATTTGTGCTTACCGTGTTATGTGTTATGTGTTTCAGGTACTTCCGAGGATCGCGGGAAGGCACCGGCGTGATTGTACACACACTCTTGATATGAAGCTATGATTGTGGATCCTGGATTTGAATAATTGTATTGAAAACTTGTTAGTTGTTTTTGAGAATGAAGGATGGGACATATGTTTTATGAGTTTTAAAATGGAAAATTTTGTTTTGAAAAATCATGTCGTTACACTATGTCGACGTATGCAACAGATAACATAAACATATAACCAGCAAGTACAGGTAATCATACAGTTCTACCAATATAACAACACTACAACATAGCAACATCCTATATACCAGGATATATAACACAACATAGTGGGTCGACATTGGTGCCTTTGACCCACAAGTATAGTGAGGAATACTCACCTAAACTATTCAACAGAAGCTCAACAACTACCTCAGCATCAGAACAATCAACCCAAACTTCCTAAAACCAATCCGAGACCAATCCTTAGTCAAATACTCAATTCTATCCATGTTTGACCAAAAGTCGAACTTGTCAAAAAGTTTACGGTCAAAGTCCGCGAGGTTAACGGTCAGCTTAGTCAAACTCAACGTCACATCGTGAACATTCCTTGGTCACGTCGTGAGAATGCAATGACAAAAAAATCACGATTATGGGCACTGTCACGTCATGACACATCCTATGTCACGTCGTGACTTCTGGTCAGAAGGCCAAAATCTTCATTAAGTGCTTAATCTCTTCAGACCAAGGCCCATAATCTCATATCTAGTTCCTAAATAGCTTCATAATGGATAAAATTTCCAACTTTATCCATAACTATGGTCCAACAACCAATATCTAGTCTTTAAGTCTTAAAGGAACCAATAATGCATCTTTCTCAGCTAAATCCATTAAGTCCAAGTCTCAAACCTTCATATCCGAATCAACATGATGTATAGATGGATAAAGTTTCCAATTTATCCATAAAATGTCTCAAGCTTTCAATATCTAAACTTTAATACCCCAAAATGACCTAAATGACGAAGATAACTTGCATCGCTAAAAGGGAAGGCAAAAGATCAAAACTTTCCTCGTCTATGAGGTCCAAGAAAACATTCTACAATGATCAAAAGGTGTTGGAGTCCAGATCTAAAACATACAATGTTCTTAGGACCTAGGAGAGTAATAAAGTTGCAAACTTTATTCTCAACTCTCACTGAAAACTCATTAAAATAGACCAAAACACCAAGTACACTTAGATCCAAGATGAAATGCAACAAAGTTGGGAATTTTATACCTTAAAAAGTTATAGAAGTTAGATGGATGTTGAGATCTTCAATTGGTCATGAGGAATCAAATATCATTAAAGGCCCTGGACGAGCCAGAAAAATAGGCCCTTGTCGTTATTATAAGTTTTTATTTTTGAATACAAATATTTAATAAAAAAATTTGGGCTCTGTGCGGCTGCCCACTTTGCCCCCTTATACTATTATATAATTAAAAGTTTAATTTATATATATATATATATATATACATATAATATATATATATATATATATATATATATATATATATATAAGAAAAGTCAGTCTTACCATTAGTAGGCCTTATTCACGAAGCTGGTCTATAAGGGGTGTTTAAGGAAGTGGCCTATAAAATGACCGCCATTGGGTATACACTCTTACCCACCACACTCTTGACTGTCGTTATCCGAACGGGTAGGATAGGACATTAAACTCTCATCAACAAGTATAATGAAATATATAAAGTAACTAAATGTTTTTATAAAATTCCCAATCTTAGTTACTTTAGGAAAATGTGAATTTGATGCTAATCCATGAAATTGCACATTGCACCTTGTCAAGTCGTTAGCGGAGCGTGTGTGGTTAACCGACATACTAACTTGGACTAACAAAGGATGTCAATGGGTAGCTTGTAAATTATCATTGATCAATGGAGCATGTGTGGTTAACCGACACATTTATTAGGTGGTAAATGACATCGAGAGTACCAAAATTTGCATGGTTATTCATACCTTATTTGTGATCCTCGGTATCCCAATCACTAATTTGAAGGGCATAATTGAGATTAAACATGTCATTGAATAGTTCAATGAATCTCAAAACATCTAGGAATTTCAATTCAAAAACCTAATTCATTTAAATTTCATTTTCGTGATGAAATTGGTGAATCGTCATTTACCTACCTTCAAATAATTTACAATTGGATTACGGCATCCCTTTTCTGAATTGTGAATTATTGTTTCGGGTCCTAGCCTTAATATTTCATTTGGGTGTTATATTAAGGATTTACTATCTAATCTAAAACTTTTTTTTTTCAGATGTATGGCTCAAACAACGCTTATGGCTCAAACTCCAACAACAACAATAACTCCAACACTTTCTCGCTCTAGAGCATTTGTGCCAAGGTGAACGAGATTGATGAAACAAAAGCTACTTCTGAAGAAATAGCTGAGTATAGGACCCACTGCAAGGACGCGACCAAAGTGTCGTGTATTATGGTGGCCACTATGACTCCTGAGCTACAACGGTTTTATAAGGACTATTGGCCTTATGAAATGTGTCAGGACTTGATGGAGAAGTACCATCAAAGAGCACATCAAGAGAGGTATGAGATAGTCACATCATTTATAACCACCAAGATGAAGGATGGAGAGTCCATCACGGCCCACTTGCAACGCATGCAACGATTGCCTCCTTGCTATGATCAGTTCAAGATGACTTATCATATGAGCAAACAGAAAGTTACATTGAGTAAACTTCAAGGCTTGTTGAGAACCACTGAAAGTGGATTGAAAGGAAAAGGTGTTGAATCTACTCCTGCTGCTGTTGCGCCAGTCCTGGCTATTGGACAAGGAAAGTGGAAAAAGAGGAAAGCTCCC